CGACTCCGCCAGACCCCACCCCGCCCCCACCCCCGCCAAGTCTGGAGCACTCGGGTCCCCCAGCCAAGCGGGAGACGCGACACTGCCGAAGAGAGTCTGGTTTGATATGGGAGAACTTCAGCGCATAAAAGCGATTCACGTAATCCCCGCGGGCTGTGCACAAGACATTTATTAAAATAGAGCTTTTCTGGAAAAAAAAAAATGTTTTCTCCAAAGTCTTTGGTCAGAACGCACCAAAGAGAACTCTAAGAAGGACAAACACTGACGTGGCTCAAACGCCCCACTCGTTATCGATGGCTTCTGAGAGCAGAACGCCCCCTGTGATTCAATGTCACTCTTGAAAGTGGGACTCTCTGAAACGTGGAAGCCAGCTTGCATTTGCCGGGAAGTGCTGACCGAGATTCGGGTTGAGACGAAGCAGTCATTGCGCAACGTTTGTCTGACAACCAAACGCCTGCGTGTCTGTCAAGGAGAAGGTTAGCGCCTGTGTATCTCCTCGGGTAAAGGCTGCTTTCTGTCTCCGCGGAGACACGCTGGTCACTCTTGTCTCCTGGGTGGGAGCAGCGTGTCATCAGCCTTCTGCCCTGGGTGGCAGCAGGGCTGGCCAGGAGGCCCACACCTTCCTTCCCTCTCTCATTCTGCGTGGAGCCTTGAGATCAACAGAATAATTATCTGTAAGTAAGCAGTGTGATCTTGTCTTTCACACGAATAAGACTTGATTTCCCCAGTAAACTTGACTTCCCAAATACAGCCGTCTTCACTGCTTTGGGATTCTGTGAAGAGGGGAACGGGCCTCAAGTGCAAAGGGAAAACATCTCTAAGTTTATCGCCTTTAAATACTATTGTGCTACTACGCTTCAATACCATATCTTTACTCTCATGGCATTCTGTTGGGGAAAGTCACATAAACAAATGTATTAAAACCTAGTTCGTGGGTGCTATGCAGATGATTAAAACGCAGTAACATGACAGACAGTTGCTAGGCAGAGTGGGTGATGGAGGCGGCACATTTCAGCCACCCGCAGTCTGAACGACTTGTCTTATGGGTGGGAGTGACTCCGTCAGTCTCTGGGGCAGAAAGCAGAATCCGTCTGAAATGGCAAAGAGAGTTAAAGAAGGGACTCTTTATAGAGGTACGAGCAGGCTTGAACAAGCCCAGGAAGGATGCTGAGACACTCGGAATCAGGCGACAAGGAGCAGGGTTTCCGTCTTACGTCTGAGAGGACGAGGGGCGCCAGTGCTGTTACCGGAGCCTGGTGGAGGCTGGAACCACACAGGAGCCTCCTGGCAGTCACAGGTAATCGCAGAAGGAGGCAGCGACTTGATGAGACCCCCGCCCAGGCTCGGACGGAGCGGAGAAGCCGCACCCCAGCCTTTCTCTGTTTTCACTCTCTGGGCTGCTGGAGCATCGCGTCGGCCAAAGCTGGGACTGCAGGAGGAGAGAGGCTGTGTGCAACCCCAGGGACAGGAGCTGAGCGAGGGGCAGAAAATGAACCTTGGGAGGGCAAAAGGTCACTGATCAGTGCAAAGAAGTTACCCACCTTATCAGTCTTGGTGGGAGGTACTGAATTTACAGATTTACAGATACTGAAAATCTTTGTCTACCTAAGTAACAAGCAGAGGCTCTCTGCAAGAAAGGACACTCGTCTGGGAACAGGGTATTGCAGTGGGAACACACGTGCCTCAGTAAACTATGCGGGTTTTCAGGGAGGTAAAGAAAGACAAAAGTTTTTAGAGGAAAAAGGGAAGAGGATTACGTAACTGTTTTGAAATAACTATGCTTGCCTACCAAGATCAGTGACCAGAGAGATGCCAGTCTGAGGCTGGGCAGGCAGTTGCTGGGCAGGCGTCTGTCCTTCAGAGTCACTTCTCGTATACGGCTGCAACAGCCTTTGTGCAGGGCTGTGGTTTTTGCAGTCTTTTGCGATCGTCTTTGTCATCGGGCATGTGACAAGCAGGAGAACGCTTCCTTCTCGGCCTTCCCACCTCTACTTGTCTTAACAACAGGGTTTTCTTCACAACAGAGACTCCGTTTGATCTTGACAACTTGCACGTGTGTCTGCCCACCCACCTGGCACCTGGCGCGTACGCATGGGCTTTTCCAGAAAGGGCTACCCACGCCAGACTGCAAACTGCGACCCAGCAACGCTTCTGTCTGTTGTTTGTTGACACGCGGTTCTGCACGGCAAACAACCGTGCAAACCCAGGGGGTGCAATGGAAAGCATTTGCTAGCTCATGAGTTTGTGGTCAGTCAGTTGGGACTTCAGCCGTAAGCTGTTCTGATCCTGGCTGGCGTCACTCAGACATGTGCGAGCAGATGTGAGTCGGCGACAGAGGCGGCCTTGGCCGGGACCACTGGTCGACTCCACGTGGCTCCGTGCGTCCGCCGTGGGGCGGGAGAGCCCAGGCCGGTTCTCCCGGAGACCGCGGAGCAGCAAGCACAGGTGGAAATCCAAGTGCGCTCTTCAGCCATCTGCACGCGTCACGTCCCCTAACGTCCCAACAGCCAAAGCCGCCGCGTGGCCAGAACCAAAGGGCAGGAAAGTAAGGGGATTAAACGGTGCTCTTTGGTGAGAGGAGAGGCCAAGTTACCCAGGAACGGGCTGGAATACTGGGAGGGCGCCGAATGGGAGCCACTGACACACTCGGTGTTCCTGGTTTGCTCTCTGGCCAAGGTTATTTATGTACCTTGTGTCGTAGGTGAGGCGTCCTCACATGGACTCGGTCACCGGTTTATGTTGCAGAGATTTGCGGGGCGGTGCTCAGTGTGGGGCTCAGAACGTGACTCGCCCTGGCCTGCTGAGTGTTTCAAACCAAGGGCCGCGGAGGCCAGCTCTCTCTGACTCCCCGCCCTCCTGTCTCTGCCTCCCTCTCTCCCCCAGAGCAAGTCACAGAAGTCAGAATTATTCTTCCCCAAGGTGAGACATAGAGGCTGAAGCTTATCTCCCCAAAGCAAGCCCTGAAACCTGCGGAGCTCACGCTCTCCCTTCCCCCTTTTTTCCTTACCGACCCTCCTTCCAGAAGGGTCTGCCCCGTACCCGGGAGGAAAAAACAGCCGATACCAGCTCTTCTAGACTCCGGTTGCTCTCATTTCCTGGGGAAAGCTGAAGGAAAGAGGTGAGCATGACAAACTCACCCCCAGCGGTGCAGTGGTCCGGGACCACGCTGATGCCCCCATCTCTCTCCCCAAGACCCATCCTACAGTCCTGCAGTCCTGCAGTGCTCTGGGCGGCAACATAGACATGACGCATATTTTATATATTTATTTTTGTTCCAGGTCTTCAAGATCTGGTGAGTATTTTTAACACTCAGAGCATATTTCCATTTGAGGAAAAATATGCTCTTTGGTTACATTTTGAGTGCTCCACAGCCATGCTAACTGGTAGCTCCCATCCTGGGAAACGCAGGGCTACCCTGCGATTATGCAGACCTCTCAGGGCACTGAGCAGAGAGGGTGCCTTCCCACGGGACACGGCGGCAGCCCAGCACACAGAGAAGGGAGCAGACGGTGACATGAGCCACGCTAGGGCTGCACGGGGCGAGATGGGGGCGTGCGTGAGAGTGTCTTGCCCGGGTTCGGAGAGAATCGGGACGGGCTGCCCAGAGGACTTGGCACTGAGCACGGGCTGCGAGTGCCAGGCAAGGAGGTGGGAGGCAAGAGGGCCCAGGACAGAGGGAACAGCGTGAGTGGCAACCTAAGATGAGAAAGTGTGGGGGTTTCAACCAGTGACAGCACGGTGGTCCAAGGCTCAGGCAAGCCCAGGACTGCGTTGATTGAATTTGGTGAAAACCGAATGCCACACCCACCTATGACGTTAGCATGCACAGCCCGAGGCCTCTGGCAAATGTTGCCAGGTCCTGTGTCTTACAGATGTCTCCAGGATGCACCTGTGAACTAAAATAAAATTTTAGGGCTCACCCCCACCACAGGGTGACTAAATGGACCGCCTTGTGGCCAAAGGAATATCCTAAAACTGAATTGCCTGCCAGGAGGAAGGTCAGACATGCCTTATCATGCCCCCCTCCCTTCCTGGGGACTTCCTTTGTAACCCGTTGACAGACCTAAGGGTATGCCAGACAAACCTGCAGGTCCTCAATTTGCACAACAAATATATGTCCCCTGGTTTATCTCTAATAACAGCTCCTTACATTGAAACATTCCAAGCCTTTAGACAAAGCTTCGTGTCTTTAACCAATTACAAGCCAAAGAATCTTTAAACCTACCTATAAGCCCCCACTTCCAGATGTCCCACCTTTTTGGGCCAAACCAATGTATGCTTCCCACGTATTGATTTATGACTGTACCTGTAACCCCTGTCTCCCTGAAATGTATAAAACCAAACTGTAACCCTGCCACAGCGAGTCCACTTGCTCAAGGACTCTTGGGAGTGGCTCCAGGTCATGGTCCTCAAATTTGGCTCAGAATAAATCTCCTTAAAATTATTTTACAGAGTTTGGCTTTTTTCTGTTGACACATGTCTGGGTCGGTTACGCAGAGCCTGGTTAGACGCGCAGTCAAGCTGGGCTTGGCCACGCAGTCGGCCAGGAACAGTGAGTGAGCAACTAAGATTCTTAGCACACGTTTTGTTTCCTTTCACTGCCAAGAACGGTGAGCAACTGAGATTTTTAGCACATTTTCTTTATTACCTCTCCAAAATGGAAGATCACCCAGTGTTTAAAACAGCCGTTTTGTCTGCTTAGAAAACATTGCTTATAATGTCAGTTATCACTAAGTACGTAGCTGTATTTACGTAGATGGCATTTTAATGTGATTTTCCAAGACATATTTTATTCATAAGCTGATTATCGGGCATCTGTACGAGACTGTAAGGAGCTCCAGGTCCCGGTCCAAAGTGAGGAAGGTCTTGTGAGCTCTGTGAAAGCTGACCCGGCCTAGTAACCTAACAGATTTGGAAAGTGTGCAGTAATTGAGAGAAATGGAAAGCATTTTGGAATTCACTACGGGGTTAATGGCAGAGAAGAAATAATCCACGTTAGGTCTAGAATTCTCAAACTTAAGGGTAACTGAAACTGTTTCATATATTAAACTCCTCAGCCATTGCATGTGTTTAATCATTTCAAATGTTAGATTCTTATTTCCTTTAAGATCTTACTGCTATTTGACCTCAAACTCCTGTTAAAAATCCATCCCAGCTACTTGCGACTCTCAGCACCTTGATTCACAGGCGTGTGCCTTATCTGTTTGATAAAGCCAGGGAATTGCCGTCATTGTTGTTATAGTCAGGGTAACGCCTAGTCACTTCATGATGTCAAATAAAACTTGAAATTATTCCGGGTCCTTCTAAACTATATGATATTCATTAAAGGTGCACTGATAACAGGTTTAACTCAAGAATTTGGTTTTTAAAATCTTTCTAAACATAGTTGTTTTAAAAGTAGTTAGCATCTCCATACTTTATTTTTTTGCCTAAGCTAAAACCCCATCTAAAACTAAGCTCGCCGAGAGCGAGGGCAGGAGAAAGGCCGAGTTACACGCGCGGGAGGGAGGGAGAGGCTCTTGGGGCCAAGCTGACAAGTGGCTCTATAGAGGTAAGAGACAGAGCCACAGTAGCAGAGGCAGAGGAAGTGGGTAGGGGAAGACACACTCATGTTTCCTTTCCCAACAGGGTCCTCATCCGTCCTGTATTTTAATTTTCTTTGAAATTCTACCTGGCTGCAAAGCAGGGAAAAGGAGCAAGGAGAGGCGCCCAAGGCAGTAATAACCCACCACCAACACACAAGTCACCCTGGACCCCCACGGCTCTTACAGCCCAGGCCCTGGACCCAGCACTGCCCGGGCGACAGTGACCACAGCACAGCGGAGTCTCTTCAAAGTCTGTTGTCATGGATCAGGCTCAGGACACCCTTAGAAAATCACCTTCCCTCTGGTTTCAGATGTCCTCTGCTGGGAAACAATACTGCATTCTCCCCAGCTGGCCCTCGTCCTTGATGTGTAGGAATTAATTCATTTTTCCTTCAGCCTGTGAGTGTACTGCTCCTAATAGTAGTCCTCAGTGAGTTACACTAAGGGTCCATCATCTGTCTTCTCTGTGTGTCTCATCTGTCTCTGCCTACCTGTCTAAATGTGTCCCTTGGTTCCTTGGAAACACTTGGTAGGATGCAGTCCAGTCGTGTCCTCAAAAACATAGCCCTTCTACATTGCAAAAAGCATGAAACGACGTATTGACTAAACTGTCAATCCTGTTTCTTAAACACCAGTGTTATAAAGGGGTCCAGGGGATTTGAAGATTGGAGTTACCTCGCCCCTTTGCTCTTTGTGTTCTGACTTCAATCATTCGAGCTCTAACCGTGATGTCCTGCGTGGCTCGATGCACGTCAGACTCAGTGTGACACTTGCACAAGAGCACTGTGCTCTAACCTATGAACGTAGAACTCAGAACATGTGCTCAGCGTGCGCCAGGCGTTGTGGAGGACCAGGAATGGCACTCTGGAGTTAGCACGGGAGGAGAAGAGAAGGCAGAGCCACACGTGGCAATGCAGGTGGCAGTGAGGAGCACCGCGGAAGGAGGATGCCCAGGCTCTGGGGACTACGAAGCTCCAGGCCTTTGGGAGATGGATTGGCTCCCAGGGAGCACCGATTAGGAACTCAGGAGAGGCCACTGCCAGCAGAAGAGAGGGCAGGGAGAGGTGGAGAGCAGGACAGGGAATGGGGAGCGTCCCAATCAGGCAGAGGAGTGGGATATTCTTGATAGCTGCACAGGAAACCATCCCAAAACTCAGTGGCTGAGACGACAGCAACCAAAAAGGGAAAAAAAAAAAAACTGAACATTTACCAAATCTCATAATTTTGTAACTGATTGAACTTAGCTGGAAACGTTTTCTGCTCTAAACAATTTCAACGGGCACCGCAGGCACTTGGAGGCTTAACCAGGACAGAACATTCAAGATGGGCCATGGCTCATGGTTGTGATTCTTGGCCACCTGCTGGGAGCACAGCTGTACTAGTATGGGGCCTCATGTTCCTCCACCTGGGCCTTTTCATGTGGATACTTGGGCTTCCTCCCAGCATGGCAGCTGAATTCCAAAAAAGGAGAGTTCCAAGAGGACATGGCCCAGTGAGTAAGTGCTTATGGAGACTCCTCTTGTGTCAACCTTGATCATGTCCCACTGGCTATACAGAGTGGCATAACAGTACCCAGAGTTAAAGTGGGAGGGGGCTATACAAGAATGTGAACAACAGAAGTCATGGTGCATGTGAGCCTATCAACTTACCACCTTCCACTGGGTGTATATTGAAGGGCCCAAAGCAAAAGTTCTTTAGGATCTCGAATAGGTGAAGAAAATAGAAATGGACAAAGTGAATCCAGTGATTTGTAAGCTACACAAAGGACTAAGTGCAGGGAGGAAAAGGAGTGAAGGCACCTACTTGGGTAACTGAGAGGACAGTGGTGTCAACATCATACCAGGTAGGTCAGGGGAAGAACTGATTTGACCAAGCGTTTCATGAGATTCTGCTTATTCAACCCCCATTCCAAATCCGTAAGCATCTGGCCAATAGGTAAAGACCTCCCCACCAAGAGGATTCACAGGAAATATCATGCACCCTCCAAACCTCAGGTGATAGGAAATGTCATTCCCTTTTTTCCTGTCGTCACTGCTCCCACTCCCCATTGGGAGGGGATAGCTGAAGGTAGCATGCCAGTCCCTTGACCCTCCGGTTCCCAGTGTGACGTCATGAAGTCCACATTCACAGTACCAGGAAAGGGTGTGGGCTGGTGGGACCTTCCGTCCTTGAGCGTTGGTCTGTGCAGTCACGAGTGACCTGTCACCTTCATGAGTGATCCCTGCAGCCCTGGCACTGGTGTGCTCACGCAGGCACCTCCTCTGGCCTGGCCCAGCCCCCTCAGCCTACCGTCCTCCTTGCAACTGCACAGTGGAAAGAATCCCAGTCACCTCTCACGCGGACGGGCTGCATGGTGTTAAGCAAGTCATTCTATCTCTCTGTCATCAGCTTATTCCGTGAGCGAGTTGGACACCATAATTACCAAAGTCTATCTCTACCATCTATGATTTCAGTATAATAAAACATTATGAACAATCATCTGATGGCAACCTCCATGCCCATATGAAGTCAAACCAACAAAACCATAAACTTGACCAGAAAGACTAAATGTACTTACCACAAATAGAAGTTTTACTATTTATAAAACTGGATCCAACCATTTATAGATGGAAATAAGTTGTTTATTCACACAGGTTTATTATCCCTTATCTGCCCTGTTCAGGACAGCAAGTGTTTCATATTTCCTATTCCTGGATTTGGGATGCTCAATCTGTAATAGAAATTTATATATTAACCAGTTTTGGTCTTACTACTGATTCATGTTTCATACAGGGCTCTTCCTCACTGAAACTATTTAACCCACTGCTAACCGCCCACCGTGTTCCCCGAAAATAAGACAGGGTCATATATTTATTTTTCCTCAAAGAGACACCCTAGGGCTTATTTTCAGGGGATGTGTTATTTTTTTTAACTTCAGTACAACCATCTACATTTATTCAAATATAGTGAAGTCATCTTCTTCTGGAACATCAGCATAACTCTCCAAACCCCGAATTCCATCCTGAATTTCTTGTGACTCTATTTCCTTTAGAATCATTGGCCCCAATCTCCCATGTCAAGCAATAGAGTTCTCATGGGGCAGATGAGAAGGGCTGCTCATCTTGTTTCCTGCTCCGCGACGAAATGCATGGGTTGTGCAGACGCGCTGCATAGCCACACCCATCACTAGGTCTTATTTTTGGGGTGGGGTTTCTATTGCGCAAATGCTTAGAAATTCTGCTAGGGCTTATTTTATGGGTAGGTCTTATTTTCAGGGAAACATGGTAGTAGTATCTGGAATGCACAGAGTATTTTTATTCAAATACCAAAAACTGCCGTGTGAAATAATGATAGAAGATTAAAATGTGCAGGTGTCTGATGTGAGAACACACATAGGTTTTCTCACTGAGTTTTGCAGCTGGTTTCTGAAAGATGAATGACATTGTGCGTGAGAAAAGCAGGGGAAAGCTTTCGTTTTGTTCTTAGGTAGGACTAGAAATAGTTAAATATTTTCTCCTTTAAACATGAAAAATTGGCATCTTTTTAAAATCCTTCTCTTTCCTTTACCTTGATGGTTTAACTAATGACTGGTGTAGGTCAATAAGAAAGACAGACAAATGAAAATAAACAAATGATTATTGGTTTAATAACAAATGATGAACAAATGATTCCATATATTAATTAGATCCCACAGAGTATCGGATGTTATGTTATAGTACAGATTACAAGTGTTTTGAAGGAAATGAAGTCTATAAATGAGGGGGGAAAGCTTTTTAAAATTTCAACAACACTTAAATGCAGAAGAGAAATGACTAGCCATTTCAAATCATGCCTCCCCTCTCAATTTTTGATCCAATATCATAATAGTCTTGTTGTAATTATTTTAAGTATCTATTTTAAATATGACGTATAATTTATAGGAATATGTAGAATGGATTTCCAGACAGTGCCTCAATTCAACTAATGAAGTTCTAATCACAAAGAATATAAATTATATCTTCATTATTCACACTTCTTTTTATGTCTTGAGATATTTAGGATAGAAACACACACAGAAAAGTAGTAGGACAGGATCACATACAGAATTTAATGCTTTGTATTAAGCCTGGGACTGCACATAAAATTGGTTAAAAAGAAATGTTTGAAGTCACTGAAGCAAATAGTTGCTTTCTAAATTCAATGTTCTCCCCACCCCAATCTGAAGGAAATAACGGAGACTCAATAGCGTGCTCCAGCCAAAACAAAAATGAATCTGCTCATCTTCTCCCTGCTGCACGCTTTTACTGTCTAAATCCTTCCATAATAACATTTATAATGTGGTGAAATTGTTAGTTCATTATACAGTAATGGGATAGGAGAAGCAAATAAACCATTATAAACCAAGAAAAATTATATTAAACATCTCAAAAACAAACACTGTATTGAAAACTCTCAGTCATCAAGATTATCGACTTCTTAATATCTTAGCAATTTACGAAATTGCTGAAGGATGGGAGACCACGTCTGGTCCCACCGGGGGTAGGACGTCCCCTCCTCTCTCCCGCACGGCCCACGCTCTGCCTCTTCCCACCCAAGATGTCATCTCCCAGTAATGCAAAGAATGTGTTTCTAGAACAAGATATTTATCTAGAATTCATTGAGTTTTTTTTTTTTTTTTTTTAATCTAATAAACATAATCAGTTTACAGTCTGTTATCCAGCGTCAGAGTTTGTTTTTTTAGAGGGTGAACAGGTGTGGTCCTGATTTTAGCTTCTAATAGGCTATCCAGTTTTCGTCAGCACCGATTTATGTGAAGAGGAGTTCTTTTTCAGCGATGTTTTCTTTGTTGCTTTTGGCTCAAAGATGACAGGCTATATGCAGGATGGGTTTTATAATCAGACATTTATCAATTGTTACTGGTCAATATCTGTTTTGTGATATCATATTTTGATATTTTAATTATAAAGTTTGTAGCTATAAGTTTAATCATCTGGCATAATTAATGTCCCATATTGTTTTTTTGTTTTGCCTAGAATTGCTTGTGGATGGTTTCTTTGGTTCCATACGAATGCGTAAAATTATTTTTTTATAATCTGTGAAGATGTGATGGATTTTATAGTATTGTGATGAATTGTAGAATCAGTTTGGGGTATAGAACATTATGTGACATATTGAGTTGCCGACCACAGAGCATGGTATGCAACAACGATTTCATCTGTTACATCCTTCTTGCTGATTTCTTCCTCAGTGTTTAACATAGTTCTCTGTAGCTGGTTTTTCACTCTTTGGTTACATATATCTAGGTACTTTAATTTCTTATGTTGCTATTGTGAAGGGAATCGCTGCGAAGTCTTTGATCTTCTGGTTCTCTATTAATTGTTGTTGGCGTATGCCTGAAATGCACTGATTTCTGTGTACATTCAATTTTTGTATCCTGAGATCTTACACAAATTCATTGACAGTTCCAGAGTTTCTTGTTGAACCTCTGGGTGTTCTAGATACAATTATCATATCATCAGCAAACAAGTGAAGTTTTGATCTCTTCTGGCCTATTTGATACCTTGTATCCATTTTCTCGTCTGAGCTGATAGCCACACGATTCTAGCACTATGTTGAATAGCAAGTGGAATATGGGCAGCTGCTGGTTCCAGTTCTAAGTGGGAATGATGTTCAGTCTTTCCCCATAATCAGTAATCGTTGGCTAGGGTCTGTCATATATGGCTTGTCATTTTTAGGTATTCCTTCTAGATGCCTAATTTTCCTAAGTGTGTCGTTATCATGAAGGGGTGTGATTTTTCAAAAGCTTTTTCTGCATCATTGAAAAATCTGTGGTCTTTTGTTTTGCTCTGTATTGGTGGAAGATTAATAGAACTTTAGTATGTGAACCATCCCTGCATCCTGGGATTGAGAGCCCACTTGGTCGTGTGGATATTTTTATGATAGTTGCTGGTCGGGTAGCTAAGATTTTGTTGAAAATTTTGCACTATTTCATTAGGATATGAGTCTGTAGTATTTCTTTTTTGTTGCATCCTTTCTGATGTTTGGTATCAGAGTAACTATTCGCTTCATAAAAGTGTCGGGATTCCCGTTCTTCTCAGTGTTGTGGAATAGTTTCTGCAAGAGGTACTAGTTCCTTCTTTGCATAATGTAATTCAGGTGTGAAGCCATCGGACCGGACTTTCTTTTTAGGAGAGATTTTAATTGCTGTTCTATTTCAGCTGTTGAGATTGGTCTGTGACGGAACTATTTCTTTCCGGTTGAGCCTAGGGAGGCTGGTGTTTCTAGAAATTTGTCCCATATCCTCCACATTTCCAGTGTTGTGTGCATAAAATTTTGTAGATCATAAATTGTATCTTGTATCTTTTGGACTCCAGTTGTGATATCCTCCCTTTTTTATTCCTGATGGAGCTATAAGAGATTTCTCTTTTCTTGCTTTTCGTTAGCTGTAGCAATGGCGTGTCAAATCTTGTTTATTTTCAAAGAACCAAACTTTTTGTTGTATTAATCTCCTGAATAGGCGTTCCTGTTGTTCAATTTCTTAGTTCTGTATTTGATCTTGTTGATCTATCACTTCTTCTGCTGGGTTTGGGTTGGTCTGGGGGGGGGGGGGGGGGGGGGGGGGGGGGGGGGGGGGGGGGGGGGGTTTCTTCTTTTTTCCAGCCTTGAGTCGTTCATTAGATTGTCTAATTTGTGACTCTTGCCTTTTGGTTATAGGCATTTAATGGAGGATAACTTTCCTCTCAAACTGCTTTTATGCTGTCCCAGAGGATTGATAACTTTCTCTCCATTGTCGTTTCTTCATAGAGAGTTTTTTTTCCGTCTTGATGATTTCTTCTTTAGAAGTATTATTTAGCATAGCGAGGTTGTTTAATTTCCACGTTTTTTGGTGTAGAAATGTGTAGTTCTGTTAGGGTTGATTCTAGTTTACTTCCACTGTGATCTGAGAAAGTACAATGTATGATTCATTTTTTAAATGTTCTTGAGATTTTCTTGTGTCCTACGAATGTCCAATCTTCCAGAGAATGTCCCGTGAAGCTTGATGAGAGAACGTATATATCATGATTTTGGGTAGAAGTTCTGTAGATGCCTGTCAACCCATTGTTTAGAGTTTTGTTTAAGTCCATTATTTCTTTATTGAATTCGTTTGACGGATCTGTCATCGTGCCATCATGGGTGTGAAATCTCCGGCATTATGGATTGCTATTAATCCATTTGCTTTAGCTCCAGTAAGGTTGCTTTATGATCGGTGCACATAAGTTGTGGGTCATGATAATTAAAATTGTATCTCCTCTTGTTGGACCTGCCTTCACCGATTATATATGAAGATGACGCTCTTTGTCTTTACTATTTTTTGGTTAAAAACAAATCGTCTGAAATAGAACTGCCACACCAGCCTTCTTTTGGTTTCTTATTTGCTGAATATGACTCCACCCTTTTATTTTAGTCTATGCATCCTGTCAGTTAAATGTGTTTCCTGAAGACAGCATAATACTTGGCTGTATTTCTTTATCCATTCAGCCCTATTCTTTGAGTGGAGTTTAAGCCATTCACATTTATTGAGAACTGATAGGTAAGGTAATACTGATCACTTCTGTTGGGTGGATGTGTTGTCTATGATCTTCTGTCTTGAGCCATGTGTAATATCTGCTAATACCTTGGTTTTGGTTGTTTTACCGTGGATTGATATTATGATGTCCGTGCGTAACGCTTTTTAAGGTACTTCTTTGAGGCTGCGTTTGTCTTGGTGAATTC